ATTACCGCCGAGTAATTCGCCGATAAAGCGATTCGAGCTATCGCTAGCTGAAACGCGGGTCCTCTTGATCCTCCTCGGAGACATACGAGCCGCGTCGAATCGCGCTTGAAAAGATGCCTCGCCAAAAGCGATTTTACAAGGCGAGCAAGTTATTTCCGCGTTTTCTCAAACGGGGGCTTCGCGTTACTAATAAAACCTGCCTGTTTTATCTTCGCGGGGATAAAATTTCCGCCGAGATAAACTTGGCGTCGCGCTTTATATAAACGTTTTTCACTCCGAGATTAGACGCGATATTTAACCCTTAACTCGGGACACTACACGCTAGCGAACTCAAGTACCAAGGACTTCTACTTTTGGATATGAAGAAAAAGTGAGACAAAATTAATTGCTCTCCACCCCGCGTACGTATTCGCTGCTGCGGTCTCTTCTATTTTTTCATCGTTAAATGCGCGCAGGATCAAGTTTCATCTTTTTTTTTTATGGAAAAAACGAGACGATTGATCAAAATTACGGCACAAATGGTAAAAGTCTCAGCAACTTCACATCCACGGTTGAGGATTAAACCGTGTGGTGCAATCTGCAATACGGCGCACGGTGTAAATGAAGAGAGAATGCATCATCCAATTCTCGCTTCCCGGGACCGAGCGGAGAGACTCGAACGGATTTTTTTTCGCGTTAAAAGCAAACAAACGGATGCGAGTCCGCGATCGAGCGGCGTAAATCGCGATGGGGGGAAAAGGGCGCGGCGAGAAATGATCGCGGGGAGCCTCGCCGCGGTTTCCGCGGCACGATCGCGGAAACGATCGGCAGCGGCGATTGCGCCGAATGGCCGTAGACGGGATCGCGCCAAATTGCACGACGACGAGGGGAGCCCGAGAGAGGTTTCCGTAATGGATCTTCGCTCACGCGTGGCTGGCAAAACACGCGCGAACCGTGAAACCGGCAGACGCCTACCGTTGCATTCCACCGTTGGCGTTCCGTAGCGCGCACAATTGAGGCATTTGCCAAGGTACATCGCGACCGCCAGCCGGGTCGCATACCGCCGTAAAGTTCAGCCGGAGGGGCCGTATCGTTAACGTTTATGAGTTGGTTGACACCGACGAATATGCGCTAAGTCTACACGACGCTGCGCGCGGCAAGCCGATAGACGTCGGCGCAATTTCGCAGCTGCTTATCGGACGCGCTCTCGAGGATAATTTATGTCTGAGAGCGAAGCGGAGGGAAAAAGCGAGAGGGGAGAGAATATACTGGAAGCCGAAAGTCTTGAAACAATCGGAGAGGAAATTGACAGTTTTTTAACGCAAGTAGACGCGTTGCTTCCTCACCGCAGGGATGTATCTACTGAGAGGTAGGCACTATGGCCGGTATTTATAGTCGGATCTTATATTCAAGACCGGCTTGAATTTATCTAAAGATGCTGTACGGAACATTTCATTGGCTACGGAGTGTCTAAAGATGATCTTGAGACGGTCTTGAATGTAAGATCTGCCTATGAACGCTGGGGCCTAAGACGCGCCGCTTCTTCATTTGCGGCGAGAAAAATAACGGGCTAGAACTAGACCGGGATTCGAACCTGGGACGCTTACCTATAACTTTATTTTACTGAGGCCCAGTTTCACCAAACGTCGTTTAACTTTAATCTTGGTTTAATTCACGTTTGTTTCTTTCTAAAGTAACAGTTGGAAACAGACAAAGAACGAATTAAGCTAAGGTTAAGCGACGTTGGTCGAACCGGGCCTGAGTAAAGTAGGAATAGTATACTAGCAGCGCGACTCCAGAGCGATGCGTGGTATCTCACTCAATGGCTTGGTAGACCATCGTATGAATGCAGAGTGGCCACATCCCCGAAGACCCCTCCAGCGAATAAACAAATTCCCCACCGCTACCCTGTCCGAACGACAGATCGTCCATGGGGGTGGGCGAATCAAAACGAGCACGGCCTTCATCTCTCTAAAAGTCAATCAGTGGAACCATGGAGTCTGTATAAGGAGACCGAACTCCCGTAATCAGAGTGGGCCGACATTTTCGAGAAATATTCGTTCCGAAAGGAATCACTGGCAGCGCTGTCAGTCAACGGACAACTCGATTCGCATTCGTGCGTGTCACATGGTTGTCATATGCATGAAGGCGTTCGTGAGAGTCCCCGCGGAAAAATATATATATTTCAAAAAGTAGATGAAAATATATGGTAATATATTTCATACATTTGGTGTATAAAAATTCGATTTAAAAAATTGTGTATAATATTATATTATCAATATATGTCAAAAATATACTAAAAATGTATGTGAAATATATGGAACAATATTTAAATTATATTTTTATAATTTGGCGGCGATCGCACGTTACACTTTCTCGTGTTTAAAAATCAACCAACAGCAGTACATAAGAAGGGGCGAGAAATCAGATCTAACAGTTGTGGCAAATGAAATCAATTTGATCTCCGCTGGTAAAGCGTTGAGAACCTAAATTCTAAGATACTTAGAACACCTGATGTAATATTATATACATATACGTGTATATCCTTGATTACATAACATAAATTTAACTGTGTTTATTGGGATGTACGTAACATATGTGTATACCGAATATATAGCAAAAGATACACCGTTTACAGTCTACAAATATTCTCCAAACGTTCTCAGTATCTACATGTAGTATTAGGGAATATACATATATTTTATACATACATCCTTTTATATTCCTTTTAATATTTTTATATAAAATATATGATAAAATACAAACAATATACAATGCATACATTAGACGTGTATAATTATATACACAGCTATGTGTTATAATGTATATACTCGTATATATCATACACTTTATCATATATTTTTAATACATATGAATGATATATGAAAAATTCCAATTTATTGGTATTATATTTATAGTATCATAGTAGTATATTTTTCTTATAACGCATATACGAGTATATAAAACGAATGTATTTTCTACTATTCTTTATATACCAATATATATTTTTCCATGGGGGAGAGATGAGGAGGTGGATTGCGTATCTCTGAAACTTGTGATAATTACAAAAGTGAGCGAATTTACAGCTTGAAATTGTAAAATATTCTAGTATTCACTCACCTTTGTAATTTTCGTAAGTTCCAGAAATCGACCCCCAGATAGCAACGGTTACGCACTGTATCTACGAGCCAGTGAGATCGAGATCGGTAAACTCACTCGCCAGCGCTACAAGTGGCAAAATTTTTTATTCAATATTTTACAACAATGTCGGCCCATGTTTGGTGACGTAACCAAGCCTAGTTCGGTCTTCTTATACAGACTCCATGAGTGGAATAGTCACTGGTTTACAGTTGTAAGTATACTACTGCGATTTTCAGTGGTATACTTGTAACTGCCAATCAGTGACTATTCACTGTTCTCAGTGATGATCCACTAATTGACTCGGAGAGCATTCTCATCGTCACTGGGACGTACAAGTCCCACTCACATTCCTTGCCTCTCTGGTTCTCTGGGACGCTCGTGCCCCACTCGTAAGAGCAAAAATTTAAAGAGAAAAAATTATTTGGCCGCAGTTGCACGTTATTCGGATTAATGTTACGCCGTATCTCATTTGCACATTCCTATAAATATTAATCTAATTGTACTGCGTACGCACCGCGTTACCCGATTTAATTTTCCTCGAAAGACGGCGCCTTTCCAAAGACGCAAGCACAAAGAGAGCGCTTCGCTCGCAAGAGCGCAACAATCACACGTCGGATCAGAAATAGCTTTGAAGCTCGTGCCGTATCAACGGGAAAAAGGTATCGCGCGCGCCGCTCGGCTCGCTGGACCGCGAGAATATCCAACGTCTTCCATTTTTCAGCTCACCCCTTTCTCCGCCTGCTCGCTCTCCCTCTCTCCGCGTGTCTCATCCACGCGCGGCGTAAGACGCCGCCGCCATTTGTATGCAACCGGCTCTTCGCGATGTAGGTTAATGGTATATGGTCCACCGGGGGCCTCTCCGTTGCCCCGGCACCTTTGGCTCGTGCGCACTTCTTTTTTTTTTACAACAACACGGAAAGTTACTCCGTAGAGGAACATCGTGCACTTCCTTCGCACGCTGTCAGGCTGCACCTGCAGCGCTTTTTTAAATACTTAAAAAGAAACACCTTGTCGAGAAACTTGAAATTGATTTAAATAGCAGACAAATAATAATATTATTCGACAATTTTTAATTAAAAGAACGAAAACTATTACCTCAACCGGCGTTTGAACCTGGACCTCCCTCACACTGTGACGAGCGTCTCACAATTCGAGGCATGTGGTAATATTTATCTCAATGAGTTCTCTTAATCAAATTATAGCCAGTTGCGTCGAATAATATTATTTGTCTGTTATTTAACTACTGGCGAACAAAAGCAATTACTCGCGATTTAAATGGACTCCGTGTATACCAAGTAATTATTGTTGCGTCGGGTTTGTGTGCCTCGCGCTCCCGACGTTTCGCCGGCGAAAGAAAACGGAAAATTATATCTAAATTAATTGCGAGCGGACGGTCCGGTCCGACGTGTACGGAGGCGAGTTCGGTAATCGAATCTCTCGCTCGTGACCTTACTCGCCGATGGAACTGCAAACCGCGGCACGGCCGGCCGGCCGACCGGCCTTGTAATTGAATCCTTGATTGCTTTTTGTTTGAATTACACTCCGGCCGTCGTGTTCCCCCCTGTTTGCGCTAGGCCGACACACGTGCGTCCGCGCATCCCTGACCTTAACCGAGAGGATCCTCCGTGAATGAAGCGTCGCGAAAATTGCGGGGCACAACGGTGCTCGCGCGAAACATTCCCTCGGATCTGCCCAAGCATTATCGCGTTTATGCGCGCGCAATGAACATTCGTCGGGGCGAGTTTAACAAACGTCGGTTAACTGCTAACCGAAGGTTAATTGATTCGCTGTCCCTTCTTAGATAATAAGTTAGAAAAAGATAGGGAGTTGGCTGAACTCTGGTTAACAGTTAACCGACGTGTGCGAGACTGGCCCTCAAGTAACTCAGCAATATCTTTTCATTAATCGTGAGAAACGGGAAGATACAACATATATAGAGCTGAAAATACAACGTAGATCTATTTTCGAACTCGTGCGCTCAGAGCTTGGGCTCGGGCCCGCACGTTGGTACCAGATCCGGGCAAGGGCCTACTTTGCAATGGGGTTTAGCCATTACGCAAGGCCTGTTGTCGGGGCAAGCCGGTGCCTCCTCGCAAGTCTTCCCCGGCAGGTGTATGTAGTCGTCTTTCGGTTCCTGCTCCTCGGCCGTCGAGAGCACGACGGCGACGGCCATCAGCAGAGCGACAGCTAACTTCATCCCTGATCAACTTCGGTCACCTGTCGCGCGGAAACATGAAACGTGATCTGCATTACAGCGCGGAAGATAACGACGCAAATTATAAATGTGATGAATGAAGTAAAATTAGCGCGGTCAATTAGTAGGGAATTTAAATGAGAAACCCCGAGTGAAGATTGAAGTAAAATGAAGAAAAAATTATACGAGATATTCCCAATGATGCCGCGTGACAGCGCGGAACGCAGCCTGTGTGCTGTCGCGCGGCAATTAACGACGCGAGTTAAATCTGTGACAAATAAAACCAGTGGCAGAGAACGATCCGTAAACGCTTAAGGCCCGGTCTACAATGACTTCTTAGCAGTTAGTCAGAAGTCGGAACTACACGGAGAGGAGATTCTCGTAAAATTTATCCTGGAAGTCATGTGATCGTAGGACAACGTGACATTTTGAAGAACTTTATGCGAGTTTTTTTTGGAAATTTTACCATACATTTTATTAGTAAAATGTACACTAAGTATAATTACTAGTGAAATGTATGGTAAAATTTCAAAAAACTCTCATCTAATTCTTCGACATGTCGTGTCGTCCCACGATTACGTAATTTTTTCGGGATAAATTTTAAAAGAAAATTCTCTCCGTGTATATGTCGGTCTTTTTTCTTTCTCACTAACGACTAGCAACTTATTGCAGACCAGGCCTTAGACTGCTTCAGTCGTAGACGTAAGGCAAGGCGGAGAATAACGTAAGCGATGAAAGACTATCGCATACGACTTGCGTTTTTCTCTAGCTTACCTTATGTCTACGACTAACACTGGGACAAATTTAACGGGTTTCTCTGCCAGCAGCCTAAACTGCTAAACAATACAAACTGCTGAATAAATAATTAATAATAATTGAAATGAGAGACCGAGCTGGAGATCGAAGTGAAATGAAAGAAACTACGCAAAATTTCCAATGATATAGCAACGATCGCAAGAGGATTTTTCTCGATTCGCCAAGCGATTCGACGTTACCTGAGTTCCTGAGTTCTTCACGCTCAAAGTCGGAGCCTGCACAAAGTAGACGTGATACCAAGGATATCTCAGCAATGAATGTTCACGTCACCGCCCGACCGACGTATCTTATGCGTTGCGATCTGCCCCTCGCTTCCTCTTCGCGAATACTCGACAATTATCGATGTCTCGCAAAATTTGATACGGCTGGTTGCACGTACGAAGGACACCCGTATTTGAACGCAGTTTTTTTTTACGCACTTCCTGCATGAGTAAAAAGAATCCACGGAAAGAGGAAGCGAAACAGATTCACAACGTGTTCTGATCCGCGTTGGTGATACGCATTGTTTGATTCCGTTTACAATAGCCGAGGTTTCTCGCTCGGTTCGCGGTAATCGCTCGGCGAAATTACATAACCGCATACAAATGGGCAAACGGACATGACTCACGTTAAGTATTTGCGCACTACCTTGTTGCGCTAAATTTTCCGTGCAATTGCGTTTATTTATACACTCAAAAAAAATCTTACTGACGCAGGTAGATTTCTAGGTGTCGCAACGAAAGTTTATTGCTATTTTTGTAGCTGTTAAAAAATTGTAGCCTGCAAAATTTATAGCCGCAACATTCTAGTAATATCTTTTGGAATGGTTAGGTTTTATGACTAAATATTAATCAATGTAGAAAAATTGTTAAACGACGCTAACTGGCAAATTCTAATTGAAGAAATTTATTACGAAAAATATTACCTCAGCCAAGGTTTGAATCTGGATTTCCCTACCACTGAGGCACATGCCTCAATTGGTGAGACGCCTAGAGTGTAGGGAAGTCCAGATTCAAACCCTGGCTGAGGTAATATTTTTCGTATTAAATGTCTTTAATTAGAATTTGCCATTTAGCGTCGTTCAATAATTTTTCTACATTGGTTAATCATGTACTGGCGTCAAATAATTCTTTACGTTAAATATTAACGCGCGCGCGGTTCTAGCTACTCTTATACTTGGCGCGAGACACTACCGTGTCTCGTGATCATTCACATTGGATAAAAATGAGTTTCGGTACCATAGCTAGAACAATCTTTATATCTCTGTAAGGAATGTAACTATGTATCACAATCAAACGTTACAATGGATGGGCACCACAGGGAGACTTTCTTCCTAACATTCGCTAACAGTTCAGATGGAAATTCTATTTCTGTTATTTAAATTGATTAAATGCAAAACGTGTGCGTAGTATTGGCTATTCATTGATATGCCTCAGTTATTTTTTTCGTAACGAGAAAATTGTTGCTGCAGATACAAGACCATTTTTTTCGCTATAGGTGAGAAAATTATTTAAGTCGATTGGAGTCACATTTAGAAAAAATTTTACATTGCTGTAAATTTTATCGAAATCGGTGAAGAACGTAATCCCTTAATTGTTATTCTCTTTGTTAGTTTAAAGCGGTTTTTTGTTTTTGTAGGACTGCTTGCAAAAATAAGAGATTAAAGGCCGGTTGTTCCAACCTCTTGATAAGCTAACTAATAGATAAATGCATCTTTGTCTAATTTGAAGAAATAACAGACAATATATGATTTAACTATTAGTTAATTTACTGAGAGGTTGGAACAACCGGCCCTAAATGAATTACTCAATTAATCAATCGGGCTTGGTTTCACCAACGTCGCTTAACTTTAATCTAGTTTAATTTAGTCTTGTTCTCCTTCTAAACGGAAGTTCTCTGTCTAAAGAGAAGACAGAAAGAAACGAAGGTTGAATTAAGCCAAGGTCAACGCTAAGCGATGGCGAACCGGGCCTTAGTCGTTCAACTTATAATAATTTACATCGGTTATACACGAAAGTGGTTCGTCTAAACCCAATGTAAACATCTACGCAAACAATCAACGTAGATGCAATCTTGAAATTCACCGCGCATGCTACCCTAGGTATCCGGGCTCTTCCATGTAAACCATTGGTATACAACAATAGTACGGTAATTGCGGTAGAATCTTTCGGGGCCAAGAGCCGGCGCGAGTGAATGAATAAAATAAATAAAAAAAAAACAATTTTCCTTTCGCAGCTTCACGCGGCCGCGCTCTCCTCCCTGCGGACCGAGGTGGCCGAGCTGAACTCGCGGCTGCTGGTGTCGACTCGCGCGCGGGAGACGGCCGAGGCCGCGCTGATGCGGGCGGAGATCCAGGCGGCCCGCGCCGAGCAGCGAGCGGAGCAGCAGTCGGCGCGGCACGAGGAGCGGCTCACCGAGTTGCATTCCGTCATCGCCGAGCTCGGCAGACAGCTGGAGCGGCATCGCGCCACCGTAATTGCCGAGGAGGACGAGTCCGGTAAGGGTCCAGGTCCGCGCTCCACGCTCCTCCACCTCGCCTCGACGCACGGACGCACGCCGGGAGAGGTACCGCGATTCCGCGTACCGATTTCGCTCCCGGGGGGGGCGAGAGGGAAGGAGCCTTGGCGAGCCTTGGAGTAACGAGAGTGCCACGGCCAATTCCCCGACGGGCAATCAGCGAATCTCTCCAGACTCCGACAGTAACAATAGTAATAGCTCTCGGTGGCCCGCGCTCTCGATTCCTCCCCTCCCTCCCCCCGCGTTTCCTCCCCGGTCTCGATACCGAGAAGAAGAGCGATCTCTTAAGGGGCTGGCATACCATCCTGTCGCACGCGCGCGCTGTGTCGCGAGAGGGACGATCGCTTATTCCGATAAATAACCGGGACTGATGGAGTAGATTCGTTTCTCCGAATCGCGATTGCGGAGCGAGGTACCGAGCGTATTAATCGTCGGTGGGTCTGCCGATCTGAGGAGATGGTCTTAATTGATGCGCAGAAGTCGAGACGAGCAGGGACGCCGAGGGTTCCATCACCAACCCGGTGGAGGAGAGCGAGGGCGGCGGGGACAACCAGGGAGATGGCGATCGTACCTTGGGGGACGCCGATTCCAGCTGCTGCGAGGACGAGAATCGACCGGCAGAGGTGAGGGAGACTCTAAAGGAACTCAATTTTCTATCCCGAGCCGAAACTTTAAGCCACATAAGTCAGGATTAAATGCGACATATGCTCGGCTTCTTCGTTGTTCTCCATTTTTGAATGCTCTGCGTCATATTCTCAATGCTCCAAATTAATCTTTAGTACATTTTATATTGGATACCAATCCCTTAAAAAGAAAACGCGTTATTATGTTTATCTAGAACGATAGGGAACAGCTGGGCAGTCCGGCCGCGTTGCCGACTCCTGAGCTAACGCAGCAAGCGGCGTCGTGCCAGAGCGTCGCCGTCGCGACGCTGCAGGAGGAGATCACGGCGCTACGGGCGGAGATCACGAGTCTGCAGGCGCAGCTGGTTCATTTCAAGAGCCAGAGTCAGAGCGGCAATCAGAGGCAAACGGCGAGCAGCGATTCGCTGCGTCGGGAGCTCAGAGTGAGCAGCAGTTTCCCCGGAAACGCGAAACTAATATTTTAACAAACAGAAATTAAATTGAAAGAACGACCAAGTACGGAAAATTGAAAAGCAAAGAGACGTTAATAAAATGCAACAGTTTCCCCGTTTAACGTGTCCCCCTCGTTTCATCCTTTCACGCCCCGCCTCTTCTTTCCGCAGGCGAGAGGCAACACCAGCTCGCCGGAGCCTTTGACGGCGCCGTGCTCGCCGCTCCTGCCACCGCTGCAGACACCTCCGACAAAGAGCGTAACGAGAGAGGAACCGCCGGTTCTCAAAATGGCAGAGAGGGTGAGATTGAGGAGGACGGACGAGAGGCACATTACCGGCCCGGACATCACAAATTTCGGGGTACGGATTTCATTTTGTCACTTGTTCTCCCTTCCCTAACTTTCCACGGCGAACGCGTGATTGTATTCCAACGTATCTCAGGTGTGCTCAACGATGGTCGCCGAACATCTCGTGTCGGATCTCCTGGAGCAATCCAACCTGCAGGAGTTGAACGGCTCGGAGAAGCAGTTCGAGGTCGAGACGGAGCGATTGAACAGCAGACTCGAGCACGCGCGGGCGAACAACGCGGTCCTCGCACTCACGTTGCACGAAAGCAAGGCGCAGTGCGACAGGTGCGTTCGTCTAGGTGCGTACGAACGATACGCGTGGAGTGACCATGTTTTTTGTTTTCTGTGCGTTACAGACTGAGCTTGTTAGTCGGCAAGTACGAGTCGAACGCGACGGCGTTGCGGCTCGCGCTTTCGTACAGTGATCGCGCGATCGAGGCCTACGACGTTCTAGTCGCCCTGCTGGAGAGCGAGATCGCGCTCTCCACCGAGAGGAACGGAGTGACGATCGATAACAGAAGGGCGGCCGAGAACGTTGCGTATCACGTGCTGAATAGACTCGAGAACGACTGTACCAATGCGCTAGGCGCGCCGTGGGAAGACAGTATGGTCTTGTCGGACGAGTAAGTACTTGGCGTACGTGCGTGGCGCGCGCAGTTTTTGTCACGAGCGTCTTTTCGATAGATCGGAAGTGACGTGGAGCGTGGAGGACGAACAGCGACTCAGGAGGCACATCGGCAGGCTGAAGGGAGAACGTACGATGGTCAGGTCGACGGCGGTCGAGCTGGAGAGCGTGCACGCGGAACCCTTGAACTCGAAGAATACCATCTCTCTGGCGGAGGCCAGGAAACTCGACCTGGAAACTGCCGTGCTCATGCAGGTTGTTAGTTAATTGATTTAAAAGCCCCGCGAGAACTTAAACGTTAGACTGCGAAATTTCTTGACGAAATTTCGGAGCAGATCTTAAATTTGAAATTTAAGCTGAACCGTTGGTCTAAAATTCATTTCACTAGAATTTAATATTTTTTCCTAGGAATTAATGGCCATGCGAGAGGACAAGGCCGAGCTGCGCGCCAGGGTGTTCCTTCTGGAGAAGGAACGCGCGACGATAGAATTGAAGTTAAACGCGCGCGACACGCAGATCGCGGCGCAGCACGCCACCATACAGCACCTTCAGGGCCAGCTGAGCGACGCCGAGGCCATGCTCGCGATGGCGACGAACAAGGTATCGCGTATAAATCTTCCAAGTTGCTGCCTCCCCGCGGCTCGGCTAATTGAAAGTGCCCTTAGAACCGAGGCTTGAGCGACAACGAGAGCGAAGGAATGGAGTCGGAGTTGATCGAGGCGCTGGGCAGGGAGGCGAGACTGAAGGAACGCCTGCAGGAATTGATCTCAACCCTGGACGAGGTCAACAAGAACTCGGAACTCAGGCACCAGCAGTCCGCCGAGCTCGTCAACGACCTGAAGAGAGCAAACGGGTAATTGTAGCCGGGAAAATTCGCCAGCTGTACTCGCGCATACGCCCGGAGTAAAAGATAAACGTTTCCCTTAGAGCGCTGGTTCAAACTCTGGAAAAGTCCAAGAAGAAATATCAGTCCAGGCTGAAGAAGCTGGAGCAACAGATGCTGGGAATGGTAGAGAGGCACGCTGCGCAGGTATGCCTCAGATAGGCGAGACATCGGACACTTTTGGTCGTAAAAACAGCAATACTTTATTACACTGGATACATGTTTCCGTGATACTATTTACTGGTGTTCCGCAGCTCTTTCCGTCTCTCCTCTAATCTCTGTTCGACTAGATACTCCAGGTCGTCGAGCGGTTTGTAGATGGTGTGGACCCACTGCGCGCCAGCCAGCATCGTGACCATCGCTACTGCACAGAATACAATGTACCGCGTAGTAGATATGTTGGCTGGCATCGCGCGATAGAGCGTCAAGCGCGAAAAGATTGTCCTCAGGCCTCCTGCTCCTGCCTTAACCTCTCCTCCACCAGCTCCTCTACCCTCCGGCGCTTGTATGTCTTGTAGAAGTTAACCTCTCCAACTTGCCAGTGGATCATGAAGTATTCCAGGGCGGCCCCGAAGGCGAAGAATATCGGCAGCAGTCGGTACTCGCCCAGCGCCTTCCCCGGCAATTTATTAATCAGTTTCCTGAACTTACGACGGTACAGTAACATCGAGGCGTCTAAATTCCGCTCGGCGAGCCGCACGATCGCTTCTACCGTCGGTCGACCGCCGCCATATTGAACTGAACATACATGGCACACTGATACAAGCGCCTATATAGAGGGAGGTCCTCTATTATGAGATAGCAGGTTTTCAACATCAAAATTCAATCAGAAATTTTTATTCACAACGATTACACGATCTAACAATGAATTTTCCACTAAACAGATTTCACCCCAAGGGCAATAAATTCACGATGAAACCAATAGACGATGCCTATCAATTTAGCAAAAATCCTGCTGTCCAATATTAGAAATTTATCTCATAATAGGAAACTTTCCTCTTTACATACGTACATATGTATATGTGTGTAGAGTGAGCACTTTGAAAGATAAAGGAGTACATTTTATAAAAATGTTCCGTAACGCCGTATTTCTATAAGCTCTCTAGAGGAAGACAGCGAAAGCAAAAAAAAAAGAAGAACGAGCTGAGTTAGCGTTACAGAGCGAAAATTTTACAAAGTCCATGACTAAATTTTTAGGTTTTACATTTTAGGTTTACATTTGAAAACTGGAACTTATACTCATAAGCGCCAGCTCGCATCAGATGTGCATGTCAAATATGTATCGCGTTATTTAAAATTAATTGCAGGTGAAGACGCTGAAGCAACGAATAGCCTTACTGGAGGAAGAGTCGATGGGCTACAAGGGGAGCATGGCACTGCAGTCGCAGAGTTCTGGCGCCAGCGAGACGTCCTTATGACAGTCGGGCGATTAAACGGCAAAAGTGACGCACGTGCAAGCTTAATAATCCAACAATTACTTTTAATGTCTATTCTGTCATTGCGAGAAAACACGGTTAAACGCAAAATGAAGATTACAACTCTCTCTCACACATACACACACACATCAATACATGCACACACACCACACACACATATTTTTTTACACGAATAGTCGAAAGTAAAAGTGCTTAGCTATTCGCTTTGTAATTATATCACGGTATATATTGCTGCTGTCCTAACGAGAATAAAAAAAAAAGGAGAAACGACTCGGAGCTAGGCCTACGCAATGTGTGCAATTGCGTCGATACACGAACGCAAACAGCCTATATAAAACAGACCCCTCAGCACGTCGTGAATTACAAATGATTAGTTCAGTAGTGTATCGCGCTATCGATAACCGCCGTGTACATATGTATATTGTAAAAGCATAAACCACAAGTGTGATACGTGTAAACTATAATGAAATAAACTGTGCTTTATAATAGATATCCCCCTACAATGCGTCCAAATACTTGACGAATATGAATCTGCTGCTGTGCTTCGTAAAATAAATTCCTTATTTATATCATTTATATACAATTGCAATTGGAGCTAATCGTCCGGATTCTCCTGCCGCTGCATCTGTAGCGCCATGGTCTCTGTGGCGTTATTCCCGGGTACATCGGGTCCTTCCTCCGCCGGCACGTCATTGATCTCCACCGCCTCCTTGCTCATCATGATCTTCTGCATCTCCTCCTCCAGGTGCACGCAGGCCTGCTCGATCTCGTAATTCTTAGACACCAAACCGACCCACTGCGCCTCGAGGGCCCTCAGTTTGTCGCCTCCTTGAGTCTGCATCGACTTCCTCTGCCAGTTGACCTCCTGAATCTTCTTCCTCAGCGACTGCACCTGCTTCTGAGCCTGACCCAACAGCTTAACCAGCACTTCCAAATAGGATTTCCAAGCCTCGCAGCCGTAGTCCATCATCAGCTCCAAATTGCAGATTCTACACTTGTGCAAAAACGTAAGAGGCAATGCCAAGATCGGAAAGGACGGGCGACACGCCGGTGAAATGCTTCCTCACCTAGTGGCCTGATGCTCCAATTGCGCGCTGCTGTTCTCGACGCTTTCGTTCCACGCAGCTAAATCGTTCAGCTTGCCGGACGCAGGCGGCGGTAACTCGTAACGCTTCATGCTGAGCACCTCCATCGGCAAGCGATTCTGCATCCTCTCGAACTCGTGCTTCATCACCTCTGTCTCGAAGGCAGTTATGCAAAGAGGCTGCAGATGCTCCAAATAATTTTTCGTCGGCCTGTAACGCCGTGTCTCTTCCTCTACCATCGCCAGCGCCTAGAAAAGACACGCCGAGTCATAAATAGATCGAGAAATAAAGAAATATATGAGAAATAAAGAAATACACGTTGACTTCTCTCTTGACACCTTCAACGCATAACCTAGCAGGTCACTATTGGTTTGTTAAATTAGAGATGAATTTTATTTTACTCACCGCTTCTCGAACGCCCGGTTCATCGTATCCTTGATCGATGTACGGCAGTGCATCAACAATCACTTCTCCAGCCATAATATATTTCAGTAAAATTGCGTTAATTTCTATTAATATTTTTCGTAAACAAACTATCGATCATAGTTGTTAAGTTGGTCGCCCAGATAATCAGGCTGTCTCCCTAGCTAGGGAGACACTTCGGTCCCTAGAAGCTGCGTTCGGAAACATCACCCGAGTGTACCCGTGTATCATTTTATCCTTATTTAACATTTGGTGAACAACAAGGATAAAATGGCTACGTTCAGCAGAAAAAGATTTGTTGAACTCATGAAGTCTGTATAAGGAGACCGAATTCGCCACTTGAAGTTTGAAACTCTCGGAATTCCAATTCTTGGAATTTTAGATAACGCCACCTCTTTGCTGATCATGTTCTCCTGATGCTTTGCCAGTTTTCGAGATTCTCAATTTTCGCGATTAAAGTTTGAAATTCTCGAAATTCCAATTCTTGGAAATGCTGAAAAATTCTA